ATGTAGAAAATGTAAACAGAGTTTGAAAGCTTAATGATATAAATTAAAAATGTTCTCATGAGTCCTGAGGTAGTAGATCCTTGGAGTGCTTCTTTATCAGGGCAAGATCTCAGAGCAGTCTCTCTGCATCATTGGGTTGTAAATCACAGGATATTTAGTTGCAGGGTGTTAGTGACAGGTAATGAAATAATTGTACGGGAAGGAATGTATGAAACAAGTACAAAATGTTTTTTCCTGTTGCAAACTTGTCTGTCTTCCTGTAACCCGTTTGGTTTCCAAAGACAGAGGTGCATTTAAGTTATTACCTGTCATGAAAATTTGTTAAATGACTTTTACCTGCCCAGCATTTTTGGTAATGTTGATAGAGCAGGGGAGAATCTTTTTTCAAGTATGTTACATTTAGTATATGATTAAGTACTTTATTTTCTCTTGTAGGAAATAGTTCCAGTTTTGTTTGGAATAGTTATTCACAACTTCTCACATCATTTATCAGTTTTGCAGAATGTTCATAGAATCATAGAATGCTTAAGGTTGGAAGGGTCCTCTAGAGGTCATCTAGTCCAGCCCCTCAATGTTGCTGTATTCCCCCCAGTAGTTACTTTTCCAAGTTCCATAGTCTATTTATTCTCTATCATTTGAAAGTCTTTCAGTGTTTGGTGATGTTCAGTCAAGACTCAACATTTGCTTACTTGAATTTCAGTGGTGTGGCAAATGTAAATTGTAATTTACACTTAATGTAAATTTTTACATGTGATTTACATGTACATTTTTACATGTAATTGTAATTTAAGAGCATGTAATTGCTCTTAAAGCTTACCTGTGCATTAAGATGGAATTTAGACTGTATTAAGACTGTAGTCAGGGACCTCTCAAGCCAAAAGCTAGTAAAGTTTAGAAAAAAAAGCTTTTTTTTTTCAAGCTGGTATATTGAAGTAAAAATAGTGTTACAGCTAGTAAGACTGTAAACACTAAGAATAGAGTATCTGACTATCTTAAAGGACAGATGTTACCACAAAAATAATCTAGTGTATGAGTTTAGGATGTTCCAAATCAGTACTCATAAATGCATAGCTGGGAGTGGCCAAATCAAGTGCAGGTCGTTTTTCAAGTTCTGTTTCATTATCTGGTTAATTGTCCTATGTGTATATAACATTTCCTTTTTTATGTGACATTTTATAGGCTCAAAATAGAGAAAGGCGTGCAAGAGAAGATAAATGACCAAAGTTCTAATGTTTCTCATGATGCTGATAGATGGTCTCAAGGAAAATCTCCAAACAGAAGCAAAACCACAGACAGTTCTTCAATCCAAATTGAGAAGCGAAAGAAAATAGTTATACAGTTTAAGCCTAAAGAGGTTAAATGTGGGAAAAGTACTAGCACCACTGATGTGGTATCTACTGGTAGGGAAAATCATAACAAAGGTAATCGTTTTGATGGAGCAGAAGGAAAAAGGCTCTTGCATAGCTTTGCACTCCAGAAAGACAAGGTGATGAAGAAAAAGAGAGAGAGAGATCAATTCTGCAAACTAAAAGCTGAACAAACCATGCTGGAGAAGTTTAAGTCTGCTACATGCAATTCACATGTGCCATGCAGAGCATTGAATGGTTCCAAAAAATCGAGTGAAGATGTCAGAACTCAAAAAAAGACAGCTATCACCTCTACAGAGACTGTAAATGATGATACGTTTTCCGCTAAAAAATCACGTATGTTATCTAGGACTTGTGGTGAAGAGGTTGAAGAAGAATATGAGGAGTTTTCTAGGAAAAACAAACATACTACCAAACACACACCATCTTACTGTTCAACTGAAACACCGAAACAATGGCACTGGAAAAAAGTGAATGCTGATTCTGATAAAGCTGATACTAATAGGGGGACTGAAGGAGGGTGCTTCGAAGCTGCAACTTTACGTTTTAAGCGGGTAACAAGAACCTGATTATTCTAGTATTATGCAGATGCTTGCTTCAGGCTAGTTTCTTTATGGCAGTCTGTTTTTGTGTAAATTTTTGTTTGTGTCTTCTTTCAGAGCTCAAATGGAGGACTTTTCTGATCCTAACCTAAACCACATTAATATGCTTCTCTGCTTTGGTGTACACCACTGAGAAAAATACTGGTCTTGCATATCACAAGTTTACACATATGCTTACATAGATTAATGCTGGAGGTGTGGAGTATTTCAGTTTTGGTATAAGTCAACAGATTTGTGAGTGTGTGTGCATACGCCATTATGGCCATCATATAACTTTTTTTTTAAGTGTGTAAACTGACCCCAAAAAAACACTTTCAGCAAAACAGGTGCTCTTTTACCAGCATAGTGAGGCCAGCAGAACTTGCTATTGTAAATCTAGGACTGAAGGAATGATTCACAGTTAGATGTGATTAGTATGTGTGTGAATCCTAACTTTTATTTGGCTGTGCAACTGTATTTATGTACAGATTTTATTTTGAGTGTTGTTGCTTTTCTGCTCTTTTTTGTTTGTTAATTTGTTTTCAACTTGCTCGGCTGTAGAAATTTCTGTTTGGGTTATGAAGTATGATCATTCTGTGCATACACAGAAAAAGGACTTAATTACTAAAACTTGAATACAGACTTTAAAGGATCTTTTCAGAAGCCCTTTGGATACTTAATAATAGCTTTAAATAATTGTCTTAAGGACACTAGTTTGAAAGTCAATTTTCAAAAGCTCTTAAGAGATGGGAAAAATAAGCTTACTGGGTAAAACACTGTCTATTTTTTTTAAAAGAAACCCTGCCTTCTAAGCTGTTTTTTAATGATACTCTAGAGATAAAATTACTAGTCATATTGCTTCATCATGAATAGCAGAAATATGTTACCTATTCGTTTTCTTTGCAAATATTCAGTGCTTTCTAACAAGCACTCTAGGAAATTCTTAGTGCTATTTCTGTTTTTAGACTTTTGAGGTCCCGAGCACATCTGATTCCTACCAGGATAGTGAGAACGCAAAGTCTCCCCAAAAGGTTGGTAAAGTACTTGTTTTACACTAAGCAGCTATATTCTCGGATTATTGACATGGGGATCATTTGTTTTATCAGTCCTTGACAGTTTGTATTGTTGCTGCAGTATTTTATTTTTTTCTACAGATCTTTGAAGTTTTTCCATCCCACCAAGGCAATCAGAGCCCAGAATCAGATCAAGAGGTTAGTAATGCTCTAACTTAGCACTTCTAAGTTATATACAAAATTTATGGCATTGAGTGCCTGTTACCCAATTTCATGCCCTTTCCTAGTATTCCATATCATTGGTTTGTTATCTGTACTTCTAAGAGTGTGAATTGTTTTTCAAATGCGAAAATGATAATGATAATCGGAAACTTTCTGAAATGGAAAGTTTGCCTTTTTCTTATCCTCTGCAAAGGAAGTGCCCTTCATTGTTGTTTGTATACTCTGCCTATGTCATATTCCAACCTCTGTTTTTTTTTTTTTTTTTTTCCTTTTTTTTCCTCCAATAGCGAGAGCGAGCTGTATTATGTAAGGTATATTTGGCAGGATATTTTTGGTCTATGTAGCAAAAAATAGAACAAAGTTTTGGGATATTAGGCAGAAAGGTCACAAACCTTTCCATATTTTGGACCTTCGCTTTTTTGACTTCTTATAGTGGAGGTTGTGTAGCAGATTCTCATGACTTTGTCTGCTATACTAAGTTAATGTTTTTCATGCTTTATTTCTAAAATGAATAATTGTCACAGTTTCATTTAGTAAGTTTTAACACACTATTAATGGAAAAAAGACTCTTATTCAGATGCTCTTTTAAGGAGATTGCTTGTATATAATTAATTTTGTACTTTTTTTTTCTGCTGTAGATGCAGATAGTAGAAGATTTGCATGTTGCTCGTCTTGAAAAAAGGATGGCATTGCCTGTTGTACAGGCTTGTGGAGAACTTACAAGTATGGAAATAGATCTCCCAGAACAGGATTTAAGTATTTCTGCTGGTATGTTTTGATCTGAGACTCTTGGTACCTGTTTAAGTAGTCATTACAATCAGGTAGTGATCTGAACAGGCAGTACACAATTCTTTTTTTTCACTTTTTTTTTTTTTTTTTTCCCCCCTAATCGCCAGCGTCTTCTGTTTCTGGTCTAAACATACTAGTGGTGATTGACACAAATATAATGATTAGTCACCTTGACTTCGTCAGGTCCCTGAAATCTGAAACTATACCAGGTATGTGAATACATGGGTGAGCAATAGGAAATTTGTAGAATGGGTGATTCTAAGGACTTTCTGAAATCACAAAGCACCTAAAAACTGATAGGCTGTCTGTCACTGCTTTCTTTCTCTCTTGATAAAGCTCACAGACTTTAAGATGTGGGAGCGATTTCTCTGGAATTCTGAGTGTAGACCCTGGTGGTGTTACTGCTTGTTTTTGATATGTTACAAAATTTTTAGATAATTGCTTTTGGCAGGATTAGGATCATGTGTGTTGGTTGATGGTAGCCATACATGGAGTCTGTCTGAATATTTGTGGTGCTTTGATATTTTCAGCTAACGAGTATAACCTTAACAAAGGTCCCAGTAGTTCTCAAGTGTGTATCAAATTGTATTTTTCTGTGTTGTTGTAGTATGTAAACTGGGAGCTGCTGTCTCTCTTAGGCTAGTTTACTGTAAAGCGGATGGGTGTTGGTGTATATGATACTTGACTTGAATGCTAATTGGGCTAATTAAATGTTATGAGCACTAGTTCACTCAGTTCTTTTTTTTTTTCCTCTCTCTCTCTTTTTTTTTTTTCCACACCAGGTGTTGGGAGACTTGCATTGATAATTCCATGGGTTGTACTACAAGAATTAGACAACTTAAAGAAGGGGAAAATGTTGCAGCACGTTCGGGACAAAGCTATCCCTGCAGTCCATTTCATCTACATGTGTCTTAAAAACCAAGATTCAAAGCTGTGGGGGCAATCCATGCAGCTTGCTTCTCAAAAAATATGTAAGATATGCACAGTCAATGTGCTTTGGGTATTCTCATCCTTGCAGCTCACTTAGTGCAAGCTTTAATACTATGTTTGAGTTTGATACACTGGTCACTGACTTTGCAGTTCGCTTCTTAAAGCTGGCTAATAGCCTACAGCAGGCTTCAGTGCATAACTGTGGCTTTAGTGTGCAAACGCCTCCTTCAGATTAGTCCTTTGTCCACTGTTGTTTAATTAATTGTTTCTCAGTTTGAGCTGTGTCTTACTAAGTTGTTATGTAGGGAATGACTTAGTCTAGATTCATTTGATTACGTCGTCTCCATCTACAAGCTAAGGATATATTGTACATCTTTGCTTTTTGACTTTTGGGTCAAAAGCGGAACATTCTCCAAAATTCATATATGGCTCACCAAAAATTTTCCAGCAAAATAACGTCATTTCTCTGTAGAGTAGTACTTAATACTTCAAAGCTCAGATTTGTGCTCAGATTACGCTCTCTCTCCTTGTTTGAGGAGCGTTACATCTAAAGACAGTACTATGACTGCACTGAAGTATTTCATATGCTGGGTTACTTCTGAACATGTCAGCACTGTCTTAACTAAACTTGCAGATGGCCTGAGTGACGAGAACAATGATGATCGTGTTTTACAATGTTGTCTGCAGTATCAGAACCTCTTTCCTCAAGCTGTTGTCATACTTTGCACGTGAGTTCTTGTGTGTTTCTAGGTCTGTCATGAGGTATAAGGAGGTCTCCTGATAAATATGACATTTTCAAATCTTGTCTTAAAGTGAAGAGCTGCTTTCAAAATAAGCTTTTTGAGAGCTCTTAAAACTTAGAGCAGGAAGGTCGTAATCAACTATAAAAATTGTAGACTTTCTCACCTTCCTGTGCACCTGGAACAGAATTAATTTTATTTAGGCTTGAATTATAAAACTTTTAAAGCATACTCTCTGGGATTTTATTCCAATTTCTTATTAAAAATATCTTTGAGTTATGAAGTTGAAAAAGTAGTTGTATTAGTGACTGACACCCAATTAGATATTTGATTTCTGCCCACCTCTTTGGAGGAGAGAAAAACATTGATGAGTGTTAATCTTAGGAGGAGGGAAGGTGAATATAGATTTACCTCTGCTCTTGTTCTGTGAGACTTGGCTTCTGAAAGTTGATTCTTGTTTTGATACAAGGCACGTGAAGCTAGTTTTAAAAAGGCAATACTCCCTGACTGTGAGCAGCTTTTATTAAAAAAAAGTTTCCAGTATTACTTCAGTAAGGGGGTATCACAATCACAGCATGAGTTTGGTTGTCCATGATGGTTTTAGATTTCTCTGAAAATAGAGCAGGTGGTGACTTAAGTGTTCTTTATCTGAATGAAGTGTCCTTCCTACATCAACGCAAGCATCTGAAATTTGGAGACAGTATTAAGAGTCCAACTTTGTACTGTGCATCTGTAGTAGTTCTACTACTCAGAGCAGAATTTGTGAGGATTTGGCCTGTTGGACTGTAAAAATAGGTTTGTAAAACTAGGTTTTGTAATATCCATCCAATAAAATGTTACTTGCCAACATGACCTTGCTTGCATCCTAAGATCACAGCAATTAGACATCATAGCTGCTTTGGGTAATTTTCTAGTCCATTTTTTGAACTGTTTCTAATTGCTTGAGAAGGAAAACTTTGCATATCGTGAAGCTCACAAAATAAGCTTACTGAAGGCAATTTTTTCAGTGTATTACTTAATATGTAACTTAAATATTTAGTATGTAACCATGTCAGTTTTATGTCAAAAGTTAATTCTCTTGTAGGGATGATAAGAATTTATGCAGTAAAGCCATTGTGAGTGAGGTAAACGCATTCTGCAAAGCAGACTTGGTTATTGCTCTACGGAATCTGAACGTAAACAAACGGCAGAGTTGTGTTGATCTACAGCAGTCCGAATGTGGTAAGTTTGTTTAATGGGCACATGTTTCAAAAGTCAGCAGTTATGCATAGCAGTCAGTGTAGGGGAGAGAGAATAGTCTCCACTATTAGCTCCCTTTTCATATACTTTGAATCTTGGCTGTCATTGTGTTTGGAGCAATCTTCTGAAAGATTGAGATGTTTATTAAGTGTCTCTTAAATTTCAGGACATTTCAATATTACATATTTTTATTTACAGAAGAACACAACATCAATTTCTGTATTTATATCACTGTTTAAAATGTGTCGTCAACATCTTTGGACTGAAAAGAGTTTTTTCCACTTTTCCAGTTTTTCCAAAAATCCAGAGATTTTTGTGTTGCCTGATCATGTTTCCAGATATGCAAATACAATTGTTTGTATTAAATAGGTGTAAGAAATGATTTTATTATACTTGCTAATAATCCCTCTGGTTGTGTAGAAGTTATTTAAAGGAAAAGAATAAATGTGGAGTAAGATCACAAATAAAAAATGTTCTGGGGGAATTGGATCCTCTTGGTTAGCAGCTCATAATTAAAAATGGTGCTAGTGTGTGTAAGTAGAAGTACTTGAAAATGTCTGCGTTGTAACCTAATGTAGAAAGGCAGTCTGTCTTTCCTTTTACTTTCATTTATAACAAGTAATTAGTGTACTGTCAACATAAATTGGATGCAGACCAGTTTCAATAAATGCTTTTTATTGTCACTGATTTGACAGATACAGAATTCCTGAAAACAGGAGGAGATGCTAATCTTACTGCTCAATTCCCAACTATACTTCTACACCTTGAAAAGAACTTAGGAGAAGCTTTATCTTGTATTTTGGAGACTGAAATGAAAATTGCATTTGGAAACCTGTGGATGGAGGTGGTTTTTTATGTTGTCTTGTTCGATATTTCAAATGTTAAGATGTTTAAGTCACTTTGGTGTCTTTATGGTGTTAATACTTTTGCTAAAACCAAACAGTATAGTTATTTAGATCACTAACATAATACAGTGTTTTGCTTTTATAACAAGATTATACGATTTGACCAGTAATGATTGTGCAGTGTTTTAGTAATGCAGTAATAGAAATTCCAGGAGTGGCAGGAGTGAATGTTTCAGAACTCTCTGTATTAATTACATTGCATTTGGACATGTACTTTTCTAAGAGGCTTAAAACACTTAAATTTTGGAGAACTTGAAACATTTTGCTATTACTTAGCTGTATTTAAGAATGTTTTGTTATGAAGCAGTTATCATTTTCATGTAAAGTGACAAGATAATGAGAATTTATCTTCTTAAACTGTTCAGGGAAATTTGTGGAAAAGGTTAGAAATAGCTTACTTTTTCCTGTACTTTGATTTGAACCAAAGGGATTTTGAGGGTATTCTATAATTTATGTCTTTGCCTCTCAGTGAAGATTATTGCTGTATGATTTCATATGCAAGGTTAACTTGGAAAATGATCACTTTTGTGAAATTACAGTGAAATTTCCCCTCCATCCTTACCGGCTCCAAAAAAAAAGAGCAACCCTCAAGTCCTGCTCTACTACTCCTCACTTGAGTAGAATGATTCCTTTGTCACAAGACAAAGCTTTGATTAGGTGTTAACTTTTTGGCACTTTTCATTGTCTTGGTTCTGGTTAACATCTTCACAAATTTTGGGAAAATATTAAATTGTGTTTTTATATATTACTTTATGTAGAGTCAGAGCTATGCAAAATAAGGTTACTTTTGCTTTTTTAAGTAATACTAATCAAAGGCATATTTATTGTTACTGTAGTTCTTGTGTGTTGAGTAATAAATCTGCTTCGAGAGATTACTCAAGTACATTTGTACTACTTGAGAAAAGAGAAACCCAAAAGTCATGAGGATAGTAAGAATTACTCTAGTATAGCACATACTTCTAAGTGAACATATCTGTGTAACCCATGCTGCTGCTGAATCTTTTTTTTTAATAGACAGACTTGTTAAAGTTAGGTAAATCTTATTTCTGAGGAACCTTTGGAATACTATTTTAGCAAGCACAAATGATAACAGACATTAAAGAACAGGTGTGAAATGTATATGTATATATTGTATATAATATATCAATGTATAAGTGTATATAAAAATCAGCTTCAAATTTTAAACATACTGTTTTACAGATACTTTATCTGAAGCCACCATGGACATTAGCAAACTTGCTGCAGTGTTATAAAAAACACTGGGTGGCTGTTTTTGGTCATGTTGTGCCAAGGAGTTTACTTGCAACTGTTGAATATCTCTATAAACACTTATGTACAGGTAAGATTCTCAGAGAATGTTTGTACACTGGCCAATAAACTCATTCTGTCTTTTGTAGTCAGAGTTACAGAAGTAGACACTGTGAAAAGGCACATGCTTTGTGTCTTTAAATAGTATTATATTCCATCCTCTTCTGTTTTATTTTATTTTATTTAAGATTATCCAGATGGAGCCATATATTGGACCTATTACCTATTTTCATATGTATCCACAACTTCTCACCCAGATGGGTGAAAAAATCTCAATACTGCTTTTGTGTGTAGAGTCAGGAGTGAACTGAAATTGAACAGTGAATAACTGTTTAAAAAAAAAAAAGGGGGAGAGAGAGAGAGAGAAGTAAGTTGGTTCTGAAATGTATTTCTCTCTTCTTTTTTTCTTCTGCGTTTTTCTACTTCTTTTTTTCAAAAAACACTAAAATCTAATGTGTGGATATTTAGGCATTTAAGAATTTATTTAACATATTTTTATGTACCTGCACAAATCAAATGAAGAATGTTTTCGTAAACAGTTAATAATTATCATCAAAGTCTCTGAACTATTTTTAAAAGGTAAATCTTTCTCCCTCCTTTGCTATCAAATTAGATTTGGTTATGGAGTTCATCTATTGACCTGCATTTGCCTAATAAATTGGGGAGAAGCAAAGTCTGTCTAATATGGTGGATGTGACCAGGCAAGTTTACTTTCCAAAAGAAGAGGCAAAACTTTCATTTGTTCGGAGTTAAAGATTTTAGCAAATATAGCTGTTTGGGGATATTTGTTCTGCAGCAATATGCTAGATAGGTCTATTGAGCTTCTTGGCAAGTCTGGGATGAGTTGGGGCTACTCGATTAAAAAGTACAAGTCTTAAACCTACACAGTGTTGTTAATATTTCTCTACAGCCTCTTTCACCTAATGTTTTTGTATCATTTTCCAGACTTCTTATATTCTTTGGTTAATTTACATATTTGAGTATTAAATTTTCCTCCTAAGATTGATAACTCCAAACACCACATTTTTTTTTATTTCCCACCTTCCTCTTAACATTAAAGTACCAACTCAAACAGCTGACTCCTCGACAGCTGGTATGTTGCTCCAGGAATCCAAAAAGCTGCTGCATGCTTTCAGTTCAAGGTCAGATTACAATGGTGTGCTTCCTCGGGCTTACGCTGAAGTCACTAAGCTCCACCAAACACTTATAGAGGTAAGAGGAGCTTCAGTAGGTATTCTCCTAGCGTGTTCTTAAAGTTGCTCCATGTTCCATTTAAAAGCTTGCCTTAGATATCTATTTTTCCCCGTAGAAGTGCTGTTGAGAAAGTGTTTTCAGAATGAATAGGTGCTAATTTTTTTTCCTGTAGTAAAGTCTTTATTAGAGTACTTGCTAGTCTTTTTTTTTTTTTCTCCTCACATAAATAGTGTCAACATTGTGGTTGAAGAATATTGTTTAGCTGTTTTCAGGAAAAATGTTGAATGCTAGTTTTCTGCTGCTATGTGTTCCATTGTTCTCATATCATTGTTTCTAGGTATATTATTTCAGCTTTTATTGTTTTGCTAGCTGTATTCTATATGAAGGAAAGACTTGGGTATATTATGTGCTTCACGATATTTAGTTTCAAGTGTGCTGGTGTTCTGTGTTCTGAAAAGTGTGCCTAATTCCATACATAATGGTATGAAAAACGAGAGTTCTTACCAGCTTACTATTCCTCTAAAACTTTCCCTTTGCCTCAGTTTACTATCTGCAGAAATTCTAATATTTACAGAAGAAAGATTTGGTGAAAGATTGAGAGATGCTTAAGAAAAATGGGCAGTAATAAATATGGTTATGGCTACAAGAGATCTGCCTTGCTTTATGAGCATTATTTAAATGGGAAAAGAAAAACAACATTTTAAAGTTTTCAACTTTTCTTAGATTAAAAACTGAAAACATTGTTTACTAAACTGTTTCATAAGGTAAAATCAGGCAGTGGACAAGATTTGTCAGAAGACACCATGGTTCTTTCAGAAAATGCTATATGTGAAAAAATGGAAGCAATGACACCAAATCTGCAAAATTGTGAAGAAAAAAAGTTGCATTCAAGTATTCACATGGCTCAAGAAAACAGATATCAGGAAATCTGGTCAGTCTTGGAAGGTGTATGGAATACAGTAAACTTGTACAGGTACAGTGTGCTAAATAAATTCACAATTTTTACATAACCTCATATTATTTTGCAGCAAATGTACTTTGGAAAGTGTTAGGGTGTTTTGTTTTGCTTTGTTGTTTTTTTTTTTTTTTCGCCTTATTCTGGAGAATAAGCTATTGGCAAGAAGCTATTAGTAATTAAGATTGTGATTAAGATTTTTCATTGTTTCTTTCCAATATTAGTGTTGAAATTTTCCAGAAGTTGGACCCCAACACGATAGCTGTGACTTCGAAGTCTTCATTTGAAGAAGCTTTTTTAGGCTTGCAAAAACTGATAGCAGCTGTGAATGATATCCTTGAAGGAATTCGTAGGTAAGTCCTTAAACTATTCATAAGTCATAAAAATCACTTAAAAGCTATATTTTTGATGCCAAACTGTAATCTATTCTGAATGATTAGTTATGTAATCTTCAGTTAAAACAAACAAACAAACAAAAAAACCACTGCAATGGAATAGTTATCTAGGATTTTCTCTGAGTGATTTTCTTTAAAAGTTTCGTTTAGAAATGTTTGCCCTAAATTTGTCCTGCAGATTTGCAGTAGGGGGCATCATGGAGCAAGAAATTCTGGGACCTGAATTTATAATCTTTCATTTTAACTCTGAACGTAGATATTCAAAGGAATTGGAAACTCCTGAGTAATTTTCCAAAACCAGCCAAGAGCTGTATTTATTTATTTATAAATCATTGTGATTTGACTGCTTTGCTTGCATTAACTGCTTTGGAAAATTTATCAGCCTCCTTAAGGTATACCGAAGTGGTGTGATCTATATGAACTGTTTTATACAACTAAAACATTTTAAAGTAATTATGGATTGGATAATATTTGTGAGGGCTTTCAGTGATGGTTTGCACTTGTATTTGTGTATATTTGGAACTGTAACAAGGTATTTTACTAATGAGGCAAATAAGTAAAGGTAGAGCAATTTTGTTCATGCATATGTTCATATTGAGGTGTACGCCCAAGCTAGTAGAAAATTGTACTTATTGTACTTGCAGCTTTTTGTGATCCCTTCTGAAATATATTTCTTTTGTCTTGTTGCTCTTAAATATTTCCCTTAATAAATTGATGGGAATGTTAGAATTAGCCTTTCTAAGGCTAGTTCTAAAAGAATAAGAAAGCTTCATTAGCAGCCTTTAATTTATCTGTAGGGATTTATGTAAGCCAGAAATTTTGCCTGAGTGTAAATTATGGTTTAAGAGTTCCTATGCACCCTCAGAGAATTTTAATTGGAGAGAAATTTACTGCCTTTGTGTTTCCTGCTTAAGTTACTTTTAGGTAGGGAATAAAAAAAAATAGAAAAGAAAAAAAGCCTGATTATTGGTGAATTCATATAGTTATTTCAATCTGATGCTTTTTTTTATTAGTATGCTAAGAAAAGTTGTTTTGTTCCTATTTACTAGTAAAAATATTTTGTTTCTATACCATAGCTCACAATTTACAGCAAGTACCATTAAATGCTTCTTTGCACTTAGGATCATATGTGGCGAGGTGTAAAATACTTCTATGTTATATACCTGTACCTACCTATAGGTAGGTAACCTAAAGCCCTGCTTATCTAATACTATATTTAAATGGAATTTGGACTTAATAAATTTCTAATGCTATTGCTGGGAGAGCACTGAGCTAGTGGCAGACTGTACAAACATTTTAAATTCAGAAATGTATTAATATTATATTAATAAATTCAGAAATGCTGTGCTTGTGTATTATTTATAATGGATAGCAGAATTTGCGTAATTGGCCAAGCTCAGCCTTGCGGGTGAGGAAGAGGAGGTTTTTTAACCTCTGACTCCTAATCTCGTTTGGAGTGTGACGATGCATGGTCAAATGAGCACAGCTCAGAGCTGGATTAGAGGCAGATGAAGGTCTGAAGAGGCATCTTGGAGAGAGGGACTGTAGGAGGAAATTTTCCTCTCTTAAGAGGTCAGCACTAGCACGAAAATGTCCCTGCAGTTACTGAGAAAAAATAACCTTGCACCAGTGGTAATATCTCTAAAGCTCATCTTTTTTAAAGACTCTTGTAGTTGAATCATCGTGTCCGATATAGCTGAAAATGTGAAATATCTGATCAAAGCGTCTCTTCTTTTTTTTTTTTTTGTATGTGGATTCAGTGTATTGTGCTAGTTCAGATGAATTTGGCTGAAGGCTACTGGGTCTGCATGTGCTCGTTTCCCTGCTGCCTGTTCTAATGGCAGCTATAAGAAACCACAGTATTTTAATATCTCCCTCTGTCTAATAGAGTTGCAATTGACCAATGCTTAACATGGTGGGAGGCAGTGGTAATGTTGTTGCTTAAGCCTCATTGCCTTTAATCCAGCCGAAAAAGCAGTGAAGTTCTTAGGACTCCATAGAAGTAAATGAATTAATCTTGTAAAAGCTGTGATCCTTTTTGATCCTGTAAAGCTGCAAAATGGGCATCTCGCCAAAGTGGCACTAGGATCTGGCATCAAAAGTACTTTTCTAAAGAAGCAAGCATGACCTTAACTTCTTATTTTGGGAAAAAAAATACTTGTAATTTCCCAGTGGACAAAAGTCCAGCATGTGTTTATCATTATAAAAGCACTTGCCCAAGTCCCTCATTCCAGCACAGTGTAATGAAGTTATCAAGATTTTAAGCTTCATGTAGGTTTTATTTTCTATTTCTAAACTTTTTTTTCCCCTCTGATCTTTTGAGTTTAAGGTTAATCAGTGTTCTTAGTGGATTGTCTTGCATGCAATTAAATCATATGTCCTGATTAAGCTCATGGATTTGTCAAATTGGTTAATGGTTTATGACAGTTTCATCAGTTTTATGCCACAGGCTATTACAGAGAAGGCGTAGAGAGGAATGGCTCAGTATGTAGTTCTGAGTTACAGCGATTTGGCTGGATTTATGAGAGATTGCTGTGTATTCTCGTGGGACTTGGTAGCCATCTACTTTACATGTTGTTGGCCAGTGTTTAGTGTTCGTGAGGGGTTGGCAGGCTGACCTGCTTTCAGTGCCAGGTTACTTTTTCTTGTCTATTTGTTAAATTTCTGATTCTTTTATGAACAGGCTTTGCTTGTTTCCCAGTTCTCTATCCACAAGCAATGAAAAGTGTCTCAGGCCATTTCCTGTCTTCCTCCGTTGTTGGTTGTCTTACCCTGCTCCCTGTCCGCACTGGCTCTGTCTCTCTTTTGATGCTGTCAGGTGAATAAATGTTGAGTGCTGGCGAAGTCCTACGGCTAATGAGGCAGAAGGGCTCGGATCCTGGGTGGGACCTGGAAAAGCTCTTAGCCTCCAGGGTGGAAATAACCAAGGGAGCATGACTCTTTACATCTCAGTAGCCATAAAGACTTGTTTATTTTCTTGGTCCTAGTAAGAATTTTACATTCTGCTTCTTTTCTTTCTCTCCTCTCCCCTAAGAGAGGCTTAACCTCTGTTTGGTTGCGGTTTGGAAACTAGATCGCCCACTCCCTACTAAAAGATGCTGTTCTGCAGAGTAGCCTGTTCAGTACATTGCACAGAACCATAGTCTGGTTCATAGTTTGAGCCCAGAACAAGTTGCATTTTAGCAGCAATCCAACCCTTAGGTCACCCAGCACCTTTGCCACCACCTGCTCAAAGCATGAAGTTTGGAGTAATTAAAAGATGGCAAGTGCATAACACAGGCTCCATACTTTTACATAAGAGCCTGTTTGCTTCACATGTTACTGACTGAGCAGTTGCTTTGCAGAGCTGCTTCTGTACCTGAGGAATCTTCTTCCATAGAAAGACTTTGAAAAGGAGAACATGAATTAAGAATAAATGTGCTTGCGAACATTTTCATATTTCCGGCAATACCCTGGAAATTCTCTTTACCCTCTTAAATATTCTCTCAGGGTAGAATAGTGGTTACAGGACATGAATGGAACTGTTAAAAGCAGTTGACAGCAGTGTGAAATCATTGCCCTGCTGACAACTTTTGTGAGGGGGGAAAAGTAAGAAGTATTTCAAGATTGGAACTTGTACTGCAGTTCATATTTAGTTAAAAACAAAAACTCTTTTGTAGTGAATGCTGACCTGGTAAGAATTTGTGGGGGAAGTTAATATGTAAGTTCTTCTCTCATCAGATTCTTTTGAGCACTTCATGTAACAATGTTTGTTTATTGAAAACAACAAGCATCTTTTACTTGAAGACACTGTAACACATTTAGCCAAATCTTAGACCTCAGAAATTATCATTATGGCTATCCTGTCCCCCTGCATAAAATAAGTTACAGAATTAAATGTTAAATAACTTACATGCTTATTTACACATCTCACTTCAAACTTCCAAAGCACTGGAAGCCCAGACAGTTTCTACACCTGCCTGGGATCTAGCAGCTGAGAGTGGGCCAAGGCGGTGGTGTTAGCAGCTTGCTGATGTGCTTTGGTCACCTGTACAAAAGTAAGGATGCTTTCCAGTCTGATGTCCTCACAGAAAAACAGTGTGAGGAGTAATTAGAGTTGCCTTGTTCAGTGCCTCATCTGGGAAACTCCCGTGAAACTGCTCTGCAGTCTGGAGCATCCTGATCAGTGTCAGGATTCGGGGATGGTGGTGGATTGACGGGGGTGACGAGCATGTCCCTCAGCCTGCCCGCTGCATCTCCTGCCGCTGCAGGAAAAGCCTCTTGAGTGTGTTTTGCCCCACCACATTGCATGGCAGCATATAGTGATGCTCAGGTCAAATTATGAGTAATGTTCTGTCTTCCGTATGTTTTATACTGTGTTCTGTTTTGCGGAAATAACTGCTAAAGACAAAAGTTTTGCTCCTTTTAGTGTAAAACAGACGGCAGAATAGTACAAACTGCCTCACAATGGAAATCAGCAGTTCCCAGGCTTTGCTATGTGAGTTTCTCGCTGCCGTCCGCGATGACGGGTAGCTAAAGCTGCGAGCCGGTGGCTGCGTGTACGTGGTGGTGGGGCTCGCACTGGTGCTGCCAGCCCCCGCAGCGTCTGCGAGGAGCTCTGCGGAACGGGCTGCACGCGTTCGTGGGGGCGACGGGAGCGCCCCGAGCCAGGCCGCAGCCGGCACCCTCGAGGCAGCTCTAGGAGACTGAGCCGGTCGCTTCTCCTGATGGCTCCTCCTTGGCTGAGTGAGCTTGCGATTTTACTTTGAAAAAGGAAGAACAAAAAAACAGGGTATATCATCTTAGGAAGGGAGAAAGAGTATGTGATTAATCTGTGTTAGCTGTTACACTTTCATTTTTACTTGATTTTACATAGGAATGAAAGCATCCAACTTGGTAATTGCGTTATATTTTAAGATTTATCATCGTCTTCCCACTGATTTAAAGTATGTTGCCTTTTTTAACTTAAGATTTTTCTGTTTTGATTGGTGATGTGGTTTTCTTTCGTTCATTCGTTTGTTTCCTAATTACTTCATTTATAAGGGATCACAATTACAAGGTGGGGGAAGGGAGAAAAGAATTTGGATACTTTACCATAGGAAAGCCAATAGAGCTTCCAGATTTCTTTTTTTTTTCTAGAATTGAGTCATTTTCTTTTTCTATTTAAATACTCAAAACTTAATATAGGCAGAATTTTATCAGATTTTCTTAAAATATTTTATGTGTTATGTGGTCTTTATTATTATGTAATTCTCACTTTTTTCCCCACTAGTGAATACACAGAAGGTTGCACTGAGATAGAGGTGGATTTTATCAGTTTAACTAGAAAGATTTTTTTTTTTTTTGTGAGAGAGAGAGAGAGAGAGAGACTTGTTTCCTTATTGGAACATTTGGGGGATTTATGGAAAAGGGCTTGTATATCTCATAACCTCACAGTGTTGTAAGGAGAGACCAAAGCGAGCACTTTATTTTGTGGTAGGTATCTCTGTTTGCAGCACGTCGAACGACGACTAGATTTTGGGAGAGACTGCGCTGTTTCTGGCTGCCATGTACTGTCTATGGCTGAAGGAAATATCAGTATTGCACATGAAACTTGGTTTTTCACACAGTCACCTCTCTTCAGCTGCTAAATCCTCCTTTCAGTTCTCAATATTGTGTGTGTAATTGTCTGGGTTTTATTAGAAGTAGCAAAAACATGATGTTAGAAAGTAAAATTCAAGCTGTATGTAAAAATACTGGAGGAAATGAAGTGCAGCTCCAACTAGTGTGGGAAAGTTTTGCTTGGGGTGTCGGTTTTCTTCTGCTCCACATTAAGACAAGAGCCTTTGCTCTGTGAAACAAAAAGTGTTCTGTTATCGGTGGTTTTCTTCCTGCCTATGTAGAGAAATAGCTTGTAAAAACATCAGTTGAATTTTTAATTAGGAAAAACTTTTGTAGAATGCTCTCCTAGACAGGATAAGCTCATTTAATTCTTTTGAGGGGAATGGAAAGGGTTGGATGGAAAATTCTTCTAAGATGACAATTTCCTTTTTTTCAAAAAAAAAGCAATTAGTTTTCTTTTCATGATGCATTTCTGACTTTTTTTTAACTCTTTCATAGAGTCCTTAAAAAGAGTTTTTAAACTGTATCTTTTTTATTCTTCTCCTGCAGAATTCTGAGCCCCAACAGTACTTTTCAAGATATTTGGACCCTCTATAACTTCCTCATAAGCAATGAGGTATTAATTTTTCTTTAATGTTTTATCAGATACAGGATTTGATCTTACTTATTAGACATCAGACATAGTGAAAAAACACATTTATCCAAAAGTTGTTTAAAAATGAAGTTGGAGTGGTAACTGCATTTTCAATATATACAGGAGAGTGCTGAATTTGTATTGTGTTTTATACCATGTAGCATGACCTGCTTATTCCATAGTCTAAACCTTGAGATTGTTAGATAACACACTGTGCTGTATGAGCTGTATGATTTTAATTAGTATATTTTACTTGGTAAATTAGTGTGTTAATCATTTTTTCTTTGTTTTAGATAAATAGCAGTATAAAATTTACTGCTGAGGAGCTTTATGACTGTGTTTCACAAGAAACATATAGGTAAGCCAATTATGACCATACTGGATGGGTTTCGAGAAAAAAACTGTAGCATGTACTGCATTAACCAAAGTATTGTAAGTTTTTTTTTGTTTGTTTGTTTGCTTTAAAAAAAATATTGCCACTACTTCTGCACTACATGGAATCACTCTTTCAACTCAACCTGCGATTCTGGAGGCCTGACTATGTGACTAAATTCCCTATCCATGAAAACAGCACTGTCCAAAGTCGTCGTATGTAGTTAAGCTATGAAGTATAATCAGAAAAAAAAGAAGCACCTCAAACTTAAGTTTCCAATTACTGTTTTGATTTAGGAGGCTTTTTTTTACATTTTTACAGTTAAATCTTAAACGGATACAAAAGGCAGGTAAATATTTTCTTTAATGTTCCTGTTTTGTGGATATAAACTAGATATATCTTACCAAGGTAAGAAGAATAGTTCCACTAGATGTGTAAAAGTCTTACGAATTATTTTAATCTGAGTTGGAAAATTATTCCGTAGCATTACCAGATTGCAAACGAGCTTCAGAGAGGGCACTATAGTTGTCATGGCCTGAATACAAGTCATGCACTCAGTAGTTTCTAAGGCCTTGGGGTTTTCCATGGTGAGGAACATGTGACAGTTGATACTCTTTTCTAAATGACCGTTTGATGTAAAGGCTAAGTGATAATAAGAATTATTCAGGCTCTGCTTTACAAGTCTTGAACCTTGCCTAAACTAAGGAAATGTTTTGTTTGGAGCCCTGAGCAGCACACTTAAAAGCTGTACGTTATTTTTGCACTGCCCTTTGTGACCTAGTGCACTTACCTTGAGATAACCTGCCAAAGGAGCGCACTGCCCTTAATGTTCTTTCCCACATTCCTCTCAAACATGTCATGTCAATTTTAACTAGACATTGTGCCATAGAAGGTAGTTTCTTGCTTCTTGACAATCTATCTTTTCTTCCCTAGAGAAAGGCTCTCAGTTGGATGTTGCCAGTTGGCTCAGCTGGAACACACCATTAAGCAGTGCAGTGCGTCCGTTCACATGGAAGCAAAGAACAGGGGCTGGCTGTGATGCTTCAGGCAAGGTTTGGAGCTGCGGTGCTCACCCCCTTCACTTTCTTTGTCCAAACTAAGTATAACTCTTGCGGTAGGGAAGGGGCAAAGGTATCAGAGGAGCCAAAAATCTGCCTTTTTTACGTGATGGTGCTGTTTTATATTTGTTAAAATTAAAAAAAAAAATTACACATAGAAATCCTTAAAAGACAGAATTCCTGCTAAGAACTGCAGCTTAGTAGAATTTTCTGTCTTCAGAGGGGCTGTAGCTGGATACTGCAGAAGCTCAGTATCCACAACGATGGTGAGCTTAAAACATCAGTTCTAAGCTCCAAAAGAGTTAATGTTATCTGTTCTTGAGAGGTTAGATCTGTTGCTCATGTTTGTATAGCAAAACAAGTGTGAGGGAGTTGGGTTTTGGCAGATTAAATAGATGAACGAAAGTGGGGGAAGGTGAGGAACAAAATGTGTTGTGGGAGGTAGCGCGCTGACCAGACAACAGAGAGTGGCTGCCTCGACGTCAGATCCCTCTGATGTTTACTGTGTAGAAGGGAAGCGTTTGAACAAAGGTGGGGCTCTTGCCCCACGTTCTACAACAATACAAGGCTTAAGAGAAGATGCAACATGGAAAAAGGAAATGGATTTTTTTAAGTCATGACAATATTTATCCTGGACCTATTTTTAATGCTTTTGTCAACATGCCTAAAATATCTAGTATCTTATGGGGGAAAAGAAGGCTTCAAGCCAGTGACAACAGTGAAATTATATTAGACTTGTAATTAATTATTTATAATTTTACTAAGTTTGGAGGAAAACACTATTTTTTCCTTCATTAAAGTATCCTCTTAATTGTAGTAGCCCTCGTACAGTAGGATTTTTTTTTTAGAAAAACTCCTGGAAAATCCCTCCTCCTCTTCGGTTCTCCTGTAAAGGCAACTTTTTGGGGGTTTTGGCCTCTGTAGGTTATAATCCAGGCCTTGCCTTGTCACAACTCTTCAGGTGACAGCTCTAGCTGAAACCTTACCTGTTCTTCCAAAGTAGATTTAAGTTGAGGAGACTTTCTAAAAGCCATTTTCAGGGCTGCTGGGGCCTTTGAAGCTACCTCTTTGATGTATGTATGTATTTGTACAGAAAGAACTGGTACAGTTCTAGATGTTTATTTTTAATATTAAACTTTTGAATGTATTTGTAAAGTCTTGATTGTTAAAAAAAACTAACTTATTGTTATAATAAATAGTTGATTCTAGATGTTTATGGTCCCTTGAATACATGCCGGCCTGTGTGTCTAACTGTCTGAATGTGAGATTTCGTTTCTAGGGTGGCAAACTTTCTTTTGTGTAAATTCTCCCCCTAAAGAAAGGACACAAACATCATTTACAGCAATCCTGTGGTGCAAGGATTTCCCAAAAGGTACCTTTAATGTGTTTGCAGCAGCAGCAAGCAATAAGTGCTAGTTTTGGCACTGGGAGTTAGATGTGCAGCACTACACATTAGACACCAAGTCATCCTACCCAACATTGTTTCCATGTGAATAGAGAAAGTGAACTAAAACATAGTACTATGAGCACATACAAAATCAAGTCATTTGTATTCTAGCACAGTTTCAGCTTGTAATAAACCTAACACCATTACTAATCAGATGAATACCTTTTCTTTGCAACAGGAAATAGTTTTAAAAACCATGAGGAAAACACCCCCCCACACTTTAGTTCTGGTTTTATAAATGTTAGCTCAACCATCATAATAAAACTGCTGTACATAAAGTACCCCCTGCATCTGAAAAAAGAGTTGGAGACGAAATAATTTTTCAATACTAAAAAGTCACAGCTATGTTATGTTCAGAAACTCCATTCAAATCTACTGAAAGTTCTGCATATTAACTTACAATATTGTAGCAGAGGCAAAAGCTTAGAAGCTCATGTACAGTGGTAAATTAAGTCTCTGAACTCCAAGATTGTCTCTTTGCTTCAATAACCCTTTATCTGCCATTTTCATTTCAACAGACAGAATACTCTGCTGAGTATATAAAAACTGTTATAAAAAGGCAATCATAAAAGATTAGGTATTGGCAGGCATGTCAGCATTTTTAATAAAAAAAAATAGCCATTGTATCTATTTAAATAAGGCTTGTTGTTACAGATTGTTCCAGTTACTGAAGAAAAACAAGGCCTGATGAAACAACTAACTACCCCCCCAAAAAACCCTTACACTTCCTGCCCCCTAGACACATTCTACAGAGGAGAAAAAAAAAAAAAGTCATTTAATGTGCAAAGTGGCAAAACAAACACTGGGGGAAGCTCCTGAAATGATATGCCCAGTCTATTTTCTCTTGCAATATCTTCAAAATCTTTTTAAAAAGGAAAATCTAAAACAGAGTTCTAAAATACACAAAAACCCTTCATCTTCATATTCTCTCCAAAACAAGTATGTACAGCATGTTAATATGCAATATGCAAAAGCTCTGTGTTGCCGTTGGCAACATCTAGGCCCTCCTCCACCCTATTCACAAGTGTACCTCTACTTAAAACACCATTACATCACTAAGCCTGTTAGTTTGAAAAGGGAACTTAAATCACTTAAAACTTTAAAATTTTTGTATAGGGGCTCCATTCATTTGATTCCAGGTTGTAGACTTCCAGGGTGTTTAGGAATTCATTGCCGTCAAAGCCGCCCACGGCGTAGATGGTGTTGGCCACAGTGGTGATGCCTGCGTTGCTGCGGGGTGTAGTCATGCTGGCCATCATTTTCCATTCGTTTTTAGCAGGGTCGTACATCTCCACGCAGCTCACTGCGTGAGAGCCATCGAAGCCTCCACCAACAAAGAGTTTCTCTAGCAAAAGGAAATAAAAGGGCTGCTTAACTGCCAGGCACCAAGCAAATCACCAAATACACAGCATCTTCAAAGTGGCAAACTAAGCCAAAACAAGTGAATTTAAGATTTCCAATGATAAATCTTTGCTGGATTCAGGTTCTGAAGTTGCAGCAGGAACCTGTTTGCTTCTCTTAATTATTACAACTGTTGCACCTACTCAGCAATAATTTCAGCCAGGTTCAGATTCTGCACGAGCAGAAACTGCACAGTGAAGCTTTTGAAAAGAAATACCTCAAAATCAAGTTCTCAATTCTCTGGTTACAGTTTTTAGCTTTGTTGAAGGGCCAGTTTCTTCCCGAATCATTTCCTCCCTGGCAAGTGTTACATCTGCTCGCACTGGAGCTTAATGTGTCAAAATTCATGGAGCACAAGAGGCTGCGTGGGAGCGCAACGCCTACCGTCATGCACCGCCACGCCAGCTCCCCGCCTGGCCACGTTCATGGGAGCGATCAGCGTCCACGTGTTGTTCTCCGGATTGTAGCGCTCCACGCTGTTCAGGCAGTTCCACGACTCTGCTCCTCCAATTATGTACAAATACCCACCAAGCTCACACACTGCAGACTGATGTCTCCCTACAAAGCAAAAGCCGTGAGTTGGCGCCAGCCACTGTAGGCCCACGCTAACCATGCATCGGCTGAAGCTTAAAAATTTAATCAAGTGACCTGCAGTTTTGCAACAGTCCCTCTTCCCCACCTCCTTAAACTGCACAACAAACTCACGGATATTAAGAGGGGCACAGCTTGTCCAAGATTTTGTTACTGGATCAAACACATCACAATTCTTAAGTCCCTTTTGACCATAAGGATCTGAACCACCAACAATGTATAGCTTTCCCTTCAGGGCACATACGCCTGTTCACACAAATAAAAAAAAAAAAGAAGTAAGCTTGTAAGTTAAGTAAGAGGCAAGGATGGACAGACAGACAATCAGCTGCAGATCCATTACCTGCATTGCAGCGATTGGTCCTGAGTTCTGGAACAGGAGTCCAGTCATCTATTTCTGGCTCATACATTTCTCCACAGCTCAAGTCATCAGAGTGACCATTTGACCCACCCACAACATAGAGCTGACCCTAAAATACAAGAAATAAGCATCTGTTCCACATATTAAAAAGCAATTCAACTCATTATCACTTTATTAACTTTACTACAATAAAGCACCTTCTGTTACTATTCTTATTAAGTTTGCCACATTTGTCCCACCTACTTAATGGATTTACATAACTGAACATTTTCACATCTCCACCCACCACATACCATAAGAACTGCCATCTGGAATCGAGCTCTTGGTGTTCTCATGGGTGCGATGAAAGTCCAAGAGTCCTTTTGTGGATCGTAGCACTCCACAGTGCGCAAACACTCCTCTCTGTTATACCCGCCTAAAGCCAGAAGCAAAAGGTCAGACGATATCGAATCTCCAAAGAACAACTGCTTGGAAGTTAAAGAACACTGACTCTGTCTACATAGTGAAAATGCTGTTTATAGAAAACCAATTGAGCAAGTGGTTTTAAAGAACTCTTTCTTTTACCTGCAGCTATTAGCTTGCCATTAAGCTCAGCTGTCCCCAGTCCCGACCGGGCGTATTGCATAGGAGACATGGGCTTCTCTATCACATCGCTCGGCTGCAGCTCGAAGCTCAGGCTCTTCAGCAGGCGCGGTGTGCTCGAGGGCGAGCTCTGAGGGCTGCTGCGGCCGTGCAGGAATATCACACACAGCACCCCATCCAGAACAGCGAGACACAGGTAGGTATTACCTGTAGTCAGGAGAAAAGGTAACAACGTATAATAATGCTTTAAAGTGAATATCACCCAGGCACTTCTTAAAGATGCTTAAGATCCTAGAGATTTCTTACAGATGCTAAAGGGGATCCCTAGTGTATATGGGGTGGTAAATACACAATATAAAATATCTTAGACAAAAAAAAAAAATCAGATACTCACTTGATGTTTTCTCTGAAGCAATGATTTTCCATTCATGTTTAGGACTCTGAACAGTAGCATTTGGAGAAAGACTTCCAGAGGAGCTGCTACTTATCTGCTTGTGATCATTCTCACGTGGTGGCTTTTTCTGCAAAATCAAAAGGCAGCTACAGAAACCTAGCCAGAGACTACACCTTCTTCTACCTTCACTTCTGTGGTGTTTTCAAGAAAACAGTAACTACCACCCCTGCAGAGCATCATTCTTAGCACACCTAAAATAAAACAGAACAT